CTTGGTGTATGAATGTTATCAGAATGTGTAAAATTCTGAAGTGAAGCAGACGTAAGATATTTTCAATGATTAACTGAAGAGCAGATCTAAATGCAAATGGTTTTACAGATTATAACAAAAAATAAACAACTATTTTGAATTTACAAGGTACAAATATGAGTTACTTTGCTTCCCTGCTAAGAATACAGTTTTCTAACCTCAAAATAATATTTGAGCTTCGCAAAAAGTATTTTAATGATGAAATCTGTAGATGAAATGATAAATTGTAGTGAACTCATCTTTTCTGTGAGGATTTGTCCAGTAAAACATCAAAATCTGGATCTTTCCTTTGTCAAAAATGCTTAGTCTTTTTCGTAATCTCTTGTCAAATAAACAAATAACGTGAAACACAATTGCAAATGTTTTTAAACCGGGCTCTGAAATCACTCACATGTGGCTGAATGGTTTTCATTTTCCAAGTTTCCCTTGATTTGTCTTATTTTGTGATATTCTGAAGTTAATCCCAGTTTTCCCATTGAAATCACATTATGTTCCACTTCATTTTAGCCTCCAGCTGCCTCCATTCTGATATTTAGAATATTTTTTAAAAAAATTTTTTTTAAAGGATCTTTGGAATAAAACAATTTACTGATCGATGCTGGCAGGAAAACATCGTATTATATTGAACTTACATTTTCTCAAAGTTGTTTTGTAGTTACTTTAAATGATAAATAACCATTACAAAACACATTTAGATCATGTTTAAGCATACGACATTTGTGTTTAAAGAAAATAAATTATGTATTTTCAGTTCCTGCCCTAGTGTTGGTTGATATTGGGTATCGGCAGATGCTTAAAACAAAAGTATCGACATCTTTATCGGCACATAAAAAGCTGGATTGGTGCAATTATTGATTTATTTATTCACATATTTATTAACTTTTCCATGTATATAATGTATAACAATACAAAACTCACACTAGATAAAAAAGTAGGTGCAGGAAGAGGCAAAAAACCCCAAAAAACTTAAATTATTGCGTCCCAAATCATAACCATGAAGTAAAATGTGCAGGTTTTGGCGCTTGTTTATAATATGGTTGCTAGGTAACAGTTATGGAATTAACTGTAGTCAAATTATTGGCTTAAACGTGTTCAAACTTGGTCAGATTTCTTGTTAAATGCTAAATATAATTGTGTTTACTACGTTTTGGTGAAATGTCATAACCTGTCGCATGCTCTAGGGATGATACGAGACAAAATTACCACGAGAACAAGACGAGACAAGATTTTGACATAATTTGTAATAGATAATAATAACAACATGCAATCCATTTCACAATTTTGGCTTCATTATTTTTATTTATGTAATACGTTAGAGGTTTAGTGGCTTTTTTTAACTACACCTTCTTAAATCGTACCAGCTCTTGACAAGGGCTGGGTATCATTACGAAGTTGCCGATATGAAACATACCTCGATACAGTGCATTTTTGATTCGATACCATATATTTTAAATCGATTCGATACGGTTCAATAAAAAAATAAAGGCTAAATCATGGCTGTGATATGAAAAGGGTTTTTGTTATAACACTTCTTGTGCAAAGATCATTTGAAACACGCCCAAACCGAGTTTCCGTCCACTGAACAAGCAACAAAACTGCAGCGCTGTAACAAAATAATTTTGTAAAATATACCAAAAAATACTCCTGATGATATATCGATACAGCAGCCCAAGATATCGATACTGTATTGTCACATTAAACGATACAATATATTGATATTTCAATATCTTTGCAAACTCCTACTCTTAACTCTTTTTTTTCCGTCCAAACAAAGTAAATACACGAGATAATTTTTCTCTTGTGCACAATCTCGTGGCAAATTTGTGCCATTCCTAATACGTACTTTAAACAGACAGAATAAATAATTGTTGATTTGAGAATTTTAATATCTTTTCAAAAATGTATTTACCGTATTTTTCGGACTATAAGTCGCACCGGACTATAAGTAGCACTTTTTGGGGGAAATTTATTTTATATTCTTCATCCTCGGTGTCACTCCTGAGCATCTCCCATAGAACTATTCTAAATTATTATTATAGATCAATGGGAATTCCGCAACCTCTGGAGGTAAACAGAGCACCACTTCCTCTTCTGTGTCGCTGTCGTCAGACTCAGCATCAGTTACAGTTAGAATTATTCTGGCCTTTCTGAATCCCGACAGGATGGTTTCTGTTGTCATTGAAGTTCAGGCTTTGTCCATCCATTCAGTGACTTCCAGGAAAGTTGCATGGTTCACCCTCCCGGTTACCGTGAAGTTGTGTTCTCCATCCCCGCTTTCCGCCAGTCCCTCACAAGTTTCTCGCTCACTTCAAACTTTCTTTCTGCTGCTCGATTACCGTTTTCGGCTGAATATTTCACTTGTTGCAGCAGGACAGAGGCTCTTTCTGCAGGAGACATGCGCAGTAGAGTGAAGTGACAATGGTGCAGGAGTAACAGGAGCAGCAGATACTGACACACAAGACTAGACCGCCCTCTTGTGGCTTCAGCGTGAAAATTTTCAATATATAAGTCGCACCGGAGTATAAGTCGCAGGAAACACCCAAACCATGAAAAAAACTGCGACTTATAATCCAAAAATACCGTAGTTATTTCGAGTTTTTAATTTTCTGCTTCCAACTGCAGAAAATTAAAAACAGAGTGTATAAAAAGAATGCAAAGGTGTGTCCAAAATTTGCCTAGTAGTGTATAATAGTGTTAAAATGTGATAAGTGTATTATGGCAATATGCAGGTATGATTTGTATGCAGTATTGTGAGATAGGGCTGCGGTATTGCGAGATAGGGCTGCAGTTACATAAGCGGGACATGCACAGACAGACATGTGGCTGTGAGGCAGGAGCTGTAAGCACCTCTGCTGTTACATGTCTTTATACGGCCTAATCATTCCAGGCCTAAAGGGTCCGTTTGGATTTAAGACTCAAACACTAAAGGTTGAGAAACGCCGGGACTAATATAGATGTACTGTACGGCAACGGGAACTTTTTAGGCGTCTGTAGTTTACTTAAAAGTGCATTGTGTAACTTTTCTGGTGGAGAATCTGTCACCTGCTTCTGTGGAAATGTCATTGCTCTGCCCGGAATGTTCCACAGTGTGACATTAAACGGCTCTACTTTACTTTTATTAAACTACAGGTGGTTTTACAGCTCAAAAATACCTAGAAAAGCAACATTCTGACTGTGAGCGGGGTCGTCTCTCCGCAGATCTGACCTGTAACTTGGTCTGGTTTGGTCTCCATGAAGATAGAAAGGTTTAATACGAAACTGTGAAACATTTCAGACGAAGCAATAATCAGAAAAGTTACGCAATGCACATTTAAAGTAGATTTTGTGTATACTTTTTACTTTTACTTTACATTTGAGAGCAGGTATTTGTATTTTCTACTCTACTACATTTTTGAACAGGACTAAAAAGTAAAAGTATTTGTTTTTTTGTTTAGTTTGAGATCTGCTGAAAAGGCTGAGGCTTTATTTTTTTATTAACACATTCATAGTTTTATACAAATAGAAACAAAAACAATCTATTTAGTTGTTTCTGTTGAACAAAATTCAGCACAAATTATTTTATTCAAATCTCTACATTAATTTGAAGCATTATAAGATTATTTTAAACAAGTAAAAGTACGTACTAAGTAGAGTTTTTGTGTAATACTTTTAGTTTTACTTGAGTATTTTTTGCTCCAGTATCTGTACTTCTACTTAAGTAACAAAATTGAGCTCTTCTTCCACCACTGGCAACTACTTTCTTTTTTATTATTAACTCGAAAATCAAGGTTTTAGAAAGTTGAATTTTCTGATTTTGATTACATCTGCAACTTATCTTTTTGAGCAGCTAAACTAATAGAAAAATTACATGCATTTTTATAGCAGATTGTAGAGGTCTAAGCTACAGTTTTTGCCGGTTTAAAACGGAGTAAGACCCCGTGGAGACAGAATATTTTGTTTGTCGGTAGAACACATAATTACAGTTATTGTGGCCATTCAAATCGCAATTACAATGTACGATTTGACTGTGGTGATTTAACTAAGCCTGGACTCTATAGAAAAGGTAGGTGGACAGCCAGTTTGTAGCTGTGGACCCTATAATTTCTTTATATAACGTGGCAATCGGGTGAGCTGACTGTATGTGAAACTGTAAATTAAACAGTGACACCTGCTGGCACGATCTGCAAACTGTGCAGGTCTGAGTCTGATTCTGCTGGGTTTTTATTAAAGCTGCACTGCATAAAATCTCTAGGAGAGGGTCCGCCACTTGTTTGTCTCCAAGGAGATGTTATTGCTTTGTCTAGAATGTTCCACAGTGTAGATTAAACCGATATGTATCACGAGGGAGACTCTACATTAGGCAAGGCAAGTTTATTTGTACAGCACAATTCGTAAACAAAGTAATTCAAAGTGCTTTACAGATTAAGAAATGTGTTAAAATCACAATACAAACCAACCAAAACATAAATAATCATCATAAAATTAAAAAGAGAGCGCTCAAATGAGAGATTACGATTCAGATCTGTGGAGAGGTGCCCATAATCACAGAAAAATTATGATATTTGAATGGAATTTTTTAGTAGAAACACTCATGATGAATAAATGCTACAAGGATATGTTTAATTAGCCAGGCTGGCAACACCTAGTGCCTCCACACAATTGAATTTCTCTCCAGCGACTAAGTCAGGAATCGGAATACACAAGACGATTCACAAAAACCCCGGAAGTGTGAGTCCGGGCACAGCGTTTCCCATTAACAAAATAGACTATAGTGGTTCCCCATAGTCCAAAATTTCCAAGCCAAAGATAAATTCAGGAGGAAAAAATCTCACAAGATCATTTTTCTCTTGTGTGCATGATCTTGTGGCATTTTTGTCTCGTGAGATCTTATCCCATCCCCTATAAATACTGTAAAAAAACACTAAACAAATATGTATAACTTGATCTTTTTTTTTTCTCTCTTCTCTTCTTTGTGTCCTCAGTTAGCCAAGCTCCGGCTCCAGCTCCAGCGCAGCAAACAGGGGGCTCGACCCGGTAAAGACCGAGACCACCTGTCCCCCCACCAGTACCACCCTCCCACCCCCCAGATCTACAGCAGCCTGTACCACAGCCACACAGCGTCTGCTCTGGAGGGACAATCACAGGTACAGCCCCGTCTGCACAACAACACACCGACTATTTTTATACTACTATTCTAAACATAGTCATAGTCACCTGTTTTGGACTTTTTTTTAGTATTAGCAATTTATTTAGTGCTTTTTTTCACTACTACTATCCTCTTTCAGCTGGGTTATAAACATAATTGTGATTACAAGATGTCATGTTTAATCTAGGTTCCAAAAAGTACATATTTACTTAAAGCCACACTATCTAAATACCAAAATTAAAAGCATCTTTTTTTCATGTTGGTATACTGTGAGCAGACTTGCATCTCTTCGAAACTTGACTCTTATTTGGTCTAGAGAGAGGACTTCCTGCTGCTTTTTCCATGCAAATCTTGTTCCTTTGCCTATAATCTTCCACGATATGATCTAAAAATGATCTGTGTGTATGGAAAATGGGAGATAAAAATGGAGAATTTGCATCGAATCATGCAGGCGTCGTGTTAAAAGAGTGTTGTTGTCTTGTCTCCATGGAGATTGACAAGTTTTATCCTCCACAACAACAAAAAAAGTAAAAAAATATATACATATAATTTGGATTCTCCATTGGAAAAACTTGTATAGTGACCCTTTTAATGTTCATTTTTCATATAGATTTTTTTAGATTAACACATTTAATACCATAAACTCGTCACATGATTCATTTCTTTAAAGTGTCCTTCCACTGTGCACATCTGCAGTATTTCAGTACTGAACGCTGTGCCCTGTGTGTCCCGGCAGCAGCAGGCTTCCATGTCGAAGTCGGCCCAGATGCCGCTGTCCAACATCACGGTGCCAAAGCCCTCGATCTCCAGGGTGCCCAGCAGTATGGAGGGCATCAACCACGAGCTGGAGAAGGTCTTCATCAGAGACAACGGGGACAAGGAGGAGCTCAAGGTGCTTCTTCTACTGCACCTGTTATACATATATGTAGAGTTTTGAGATTTAAAGAGTTTACTTTACTGGGAAAATGTATTTAACTATAATTGTTCTATTCATTTAGTGTGCTACAAAACGGAACACCCATCAGTTTTCTTTTTTTCCACTTTCAAATATGCTGTTTAGAAGGAAAGATGGTGAATAAAAAGTTGTGAGAACACGGCACCGTAAGAAGGAAACAGATCTATGAATCCCAGATGACTGTCAGTGCCTTCAGCCGCGCCCTCTTGTGTAAATCCATGAAGCTTCCTGTGTTTATTCTGTCTCACCCACCATGACTACAACATACATATGGACAAATTATTCAAGATTACACAAAGAAAATTTAGTTTACAATGTTTTTCTCCTGAACAGAACAGATAAATTGTAAAAGCAGCTCTTCGGGTCAAAATAAAACTTCTATGTGCTGTCTGCATCTAATAATAAAGTGTTTATATGTAGTGAATCAGACCTGGGTGCTGTTTGGGTGTTAGTTTCTGATAGCAGTGCTCTAACAGTAAAACTCTGGCCACTGAAAGTTGTGAAAAGTGCTATAAACTCATTGTGGTGAACAATTAGGGTGCGAGGAATGTGTTAAGAAAAGTGAAGAATAACTTTGGACTTCTTGAAACAGCTCTGTTTTTTTTTGACCTAAGTTAGTTTATCTTGGAATATTAAAGGATCCAAAAGCCTGATGGTGAAATGTGCTCTTGTATGTCTCAGTCTCTGGAGGTCCCAGACGGGCGGCGCGCTCCTTTCCCCCCTCAGCAGCGCAGCAGTAGCAGTCGCAGCGTGGACACTCAGACCCCCTCTGCCCCCGGCCGCTCCAGCAGCTGCTCCAGCCTGTCCCCCTGCCCCTCGCCCGCCTGCCCACCCGGAGGCTCCCACGACGGAAGCCCCTACTCCACAGACGACCTGCTCTATGACAGGGACAAAGGTAACTCCAGCCCCAGAGCCTGGATGTGCGTGCTTTCTTAATGGAACACTTGAAACTCTTCCAATGTTTGTTGATAAAACGTTTATCTTTTGGTTAATTTGTCATGCTTGTATTTTTGGTTTATATTTCAAAGTAAACTAAACTGCTTCCTTCCCAAACTCAGATAATCTAAACAGAAATGCGTTTATATCAACATTTTAACTGCACATTTGTGGATTTGTTGTAGTACTCTTCATTTTGAAACACAGATCTGAAGCGTATGTCTTGTGTGCTTCATGTGTGACAGACAGTGGAAGCAGTTCTCCTCTGCCCAAGTTTGCATCTTCACCCAAACCCAACAACAGCTACATGTTCAAGAGGGAGCCTCCAGAGGGCTGTGAGAAGGTCAAAGCCTTCGAGGAGAGGTGCGTTCATACCTATACTTTTTTCCGCTCATGATGTATCGTCAAATAAAATGAACCCCCAAAACGCAACGACCTCTGACCCTTAACCTCATGTCTCTCTGAATCAAGTTCTACTATTGTCAGTCTGGGACGGCTCTCGCTGAAACTTGGAATGTCATGACAATTATTTAAATTCAGTTCATGTTTATTTATATAGCACATTTAAAAGAACTTCAGCTGACCAAAGTGCTTCACATAAAAGTCAACAAAAACAGAAGAAACGGATACAAATACATATATACAGATAACATGTGAAAACTACAATAAAAACACAAAGATAACCTGACTCGCTAATACTAAATGTCAGAGAGGAGGTGAGTCTTCAGTCTAGTCTTAAACTGCATTACTGGACAGACTGAGAGGATCTGACAGGAAGAGGAAGGCTGTTCCACAGGTTGTTCCTGTCGTCTTGAGCCAAGTTTTGGGCACGACCAACAAGAGCTGGTCGGCTGATCTCAGGGCTGTGGGCGGAGTTTAGAGCTGCAATAATTCCCTCAAATAGACGGGACCCCAAAACAATTGATAACATTTTAAATTGTGCCCTGTATGAGACGGAGCCAGTGTAGGTTGTACAGCACAGGTGTGATGTGTTCTCCTAATGGTGCTTGTCGGCAGACGAGCTGCAGGGAGCTCTGGTCCAACCCTACATACAAAGAACTGCAATAGTCCAGGCGTGATGTTACAAAAGGAAGGATAGCTCTTGCGAAATTTGCCTGTGGGAGGTAGGGTTTTATTTTAGCAAAGAGCCTCAACTGAATAAAGCTGGACTTTATCACAGAGCTAATGTGCTTGTCCAGTTTGAATTTGTGTACTGATTTTAAAAACGGTGTCTGGGGTCAGGACATGAGCCAGAAATAGATCTATGTCCAGAGAGAACAGAGGTGAGAATGAGTCAAAGTTGCAGAAATTAGTGGAATTTGTGTTTTGTCCTTAGTTAGACACAAGTCCCCAGATGACCACAGCTGAACACTCCTGCATGAAAGAGAGATTACACCTGCACTCTGCTTTAATTAAATTGAAAATTGAGTTTATCACTTAAAAAATGGCAAGGCAAGTAAATTTTATAGCACAATTTGTACACAAAATAATTCAAAGTGCTTTCCAGAATAAGAAATACATTAAAATCACAATAAAAACTAATCAAAACATAATAATCATCATAAAGTCCAAGTCCAAAAGTGCCATTTTATTCGATTTTAAACACATGCTGAAGTCAGTTGATAGTGAAATTCTTGAGCACTCATTCACATTTTGTTCTGTAACATCTTGAATATTACTTTAATGCAAGAGATGAAATCCGTTTTAATAACATTTGTCCCTCTGCTGTGCCCAGTTCCAGGCAGTCTGCGTCAGCCTCCGTGCCCCTCTTCTCCTGCCCCGACAAAAACAAAGTCAACTTCATCCCCACGGGCTCGGCCTTCTGCCCCGTCAAACTGCCCGGCTCCCTGCCCCTGCCCCCCACCGCCGAGGACCGCGAGGGGGGCGTGGCCTCTCTGCACGGGCCCCCCACACAGGTGTCCACCAGCACCAGCACTGATGACCCCCCAGAGGACCCCAACACAGAGACTGACGCTCCCCAGACAGACGACGCGGACATCAGCTAGGCCACGAACCAAAAAAGAAAAACCCCCCGATACTGACTGACTGCAACTAGGGGGCGCTCTGTCTCTCTCTTTCTCTCTCTTTCTCTGTTCAAAAACCCCGCGATCTCTGCATGGCGTAGCAACTATGTCCCAGTAACCACCAATCACCACAACAGACTGGCCACTTCGCTGTCCTGACCAGGGAGGACCACTAGAGGCGCTATGGAGCACTATACGGACAGGCAGGGGAGGGGGGCATGCATTTTAAAGCGGTAGTATATTTCTGAAGTTAAATTATGTGTTGTGTTCGGTTTCAACATTCACAGTATGAATAAGCTCTTTAAACATATATATAGACACACGTATATATATATCTATGAAAAGAAAGAAAAATGCTTGTTTAAAAACTCCTAAACTGTGTATTGCTGTGTAACAGGCTGTACTCTTCAGGATTATGTTTACCCTATACAGGTCACGTGTTCAAAGTACGGTGGCCTAGAAGGGCGAGTCACAACAACAACGAAAACGAATAGAAAGGAAATGGAAAAAAATCGAAATGCGAGTGATTAAACAGGTAAGATATAAATAAAGATAAAATTACTTCAAAATAAGGTCAAAACTGAACCAAAAAGAATCAAATGACAAAGCAAAGAGGTAAAAAAAAAAGGTGCTTAATGTAGCTTTTCTAGTTCTGGTCCGTCACCTGCTGTCGTCATGGAAATATTATCGCTTTACCTAAATGTTTCACAGACTGGCATTACAGTTTTCTACATTTCATAAGTTAAATTACAACCGTTCTGTTTTAGAAATAAAATAGAAAAACAAAAATGCATCAAAAACTATACTTGAAGTGACCTACTTGTCTCCATGGAGATAGATAAACACGTGATACCGTACTGTGGAATATTCTACAGGGTTCCCACAGTCATGGACATCCTGGAAAAGTCATGGAAATTGAAAATGTCATATTCCGGGCCTGGAAAAGTCATGGAATTTTAGTATCTCTTTCACGCAATCGTCATTAGGCCATTATGATTATGATTTCTGAATGTCTGTGTCTTTTGTTTAAAAAAGATGACAATAAATGCACTGACAGGATTTTGAATGTTAAAAAAAAATCCCAAACCATAAGGTGAGTGGAAAGGGAAAACATTTCATATTTAGCCCTTAAAGTCTGATCAATTCTACATATTTAGGTGCCGTAAAGTCATGGAAAATTCACTTTAGGGCATGAAAAAGCATGAAAAAGTTTAAAAATTTTGTCTGTGAAAAAGAGTGGGAACCCTGTAAATCAAGAGTGTCCAAACTATGACCCAGGGGCCAAATGCGGCCCTCAAGACAATTCTTCTTGGCCCTCAGGCTTTTTGGTGAATTGGCCCACATTATCCAGGAAAGTGCTTTTTCTGCTAGTTTTAAATCCTCTGCTACTATAACTGAAATAACCAATAATTTTGATGTGATACAGACCTTCTTAGACTGAAGACACTTTAACATCTCAGATAAAAGCTCTTTTTTGATCACTCGTCTATGGCCCTCCTCATGGTCTATGTTCCAAAATGTGGCTCTCTAAAAAAGAATGAGAACTTCGCACGTCAATTACTTGAGACGGGTGCGTTGGAGGAGAGCGAGCAGCCCAAGAACATCGAGAAAAATCCCGCACAGCATCTTACTTACTTGTAAAATGTGAGATTTATTAGGACAAACTGTGCAACTTTTTGGCACTTGGCCTTCATCAGACAAACAGGCAAACTACATTTAATTTGTTAAATTGCACATGTTTTATTTTATTTCTAAAAGAGAAAAAAAAACAAACATCAAAAACAAAACTCCAAGTGAGCTGTGTCACCTCTCCACAGATTTGACTTGTAACTTGGCCTGGTGGTGACCTACTTGTCTCCATGGAGATAGATGTGTGATGCCCATACTGTGGAACATTCTACAGGGTTCCCACGGTCATGGATATCATGGAAAAGTCATGGAAATTGAAAATGTCATACTCCTTTTAGTATCTTTTTCACGCAGTCATTATTAGGCTGTTGTGATTATTTCTGAATGTCTGTGCCTTTTGTTTAAAAGAGACAACAACAAATGCACTGACAGTATTTTAAAAGTTAAAAACCTACAATACCAAACCATGAGGTGAGTGGAAAGGGTTAACATTTCATATTTAGCCCTTAAAGTCTGATCAATTCTACATATTTAGGTGCCGTAAAGTCATGGAAAATTCACTTTAGGTCATGAAAACGTCATGGAAAAGCTTTGAAATTTTGTTAGTGAAAAAGAGTGGGAACCCTGTAAATGTTTCATAGATTGACATTACAGTTTTCTACATTTCATTTGTTATAAAAGAATGAGAACTTTGCACATCAATTACTTAAGACGGGTGCGTCGGAGGAGAGGGAACAACCCAAGAACATCGAGAAAAATCCCACACACCGTCTTACTTTCTTGCGTAATTTGAGATTTATTAGGACAAACTGTGCAACCTTTTGGCACTAGGCCTTCATCAGACAAACAGGGAAACTTTGAACATTTTATTTGTTAAATTACAAGTTTTTTATTTGATTTTATTTCTAAAAGAGGGAAAAAAACATAAAAAAAAAAAAAACTTCAAGTGAGCTGCGTCACCTCTCCACAGATCTGACTTGTATCTTGGCCTGGTTGTGACCTACTTGTCTCCATGGAGATAGATCTGTGATGCCCATACTGTGGAACATTTTAGGCAAGGAAATAACATATGGAAACAAGCAGGTGACGGATTATCTACTAGAAAAGTGACATAATGCATCTTTAAACTAACTGTACAAAATTAATAAAACTAAATGAAAAATGGAAAGTTTGGGAAGGAAATTTTAAATTGAAAAGTAAAGCGAATATTTAGAAAAAGTAAAATTAAACAACAAAACAAACCAAAATAATATATATAGTTTTTTTTTTTTTTTTCCTTTAATTCATAAATTATTATTATGAAACAGTTCTAATTACCACTTGCTTTCAACTTTAAATTTTGTCAAGCATCGTTTCGTTTTCTTTTTTTAATTGTCAATCATACCTTTTAGTTTCATGTTTCCGTTTTTAAAAATTCCTTTATAATTTTTTGTTGTTGCGACTATCTCTTCATGGCCACTATTCCAACCCTGTCTCGAGCGTGCAACCACATTTGGACAAAAACAAAAACAAAAAAAACAAAAATGTCGGCGCGTGGTTGCCCGGTGTCTGCATCTGGCCTTGCTTCAGGTATTTCAATCAGAGTCGATTTACTCAGGTAATTTAGGATGAGTGTCCATTATGAGATCTTAAATACGAAAAACTAGTCACCTTTGTTTCTCATTCCCATTCCAGGCTAAACATTGTTCCATGAAAGAGAAAGTGGAAGTGAAAAACACGGATCAGAGGAGGAAATGTGTGGACCAAATGCACTGTGATGGAAAGCTGTTTTAGGGCTGCACAATATATGAAACAAAATGACATAATTGTTGAATTTAATGTTGTATATACACTTTTTTTTTCAATAATTTTTCATATTTTTTCCAGTTAAAGATGGTTAGGAGTCTGTCTGAAATCTGAAACTATTAAAACGATAAAATAATGACAAAAAACAATTGACAAAAATGACGTTTAAAGGTTTTTTAAAAATATTTTCTCGCATTTTCATTCACTTCACAACAAGGCAAATTTGTGTAGCACAATTTGTACACAGAGTAATTCAAAGTGCTTTACAGAATAAGAAATCCATTAAAATCACAATAAAAACAAATCAAAACTAAATAAACATCATTAAATTAAAAAGAGAGAGAAGAACTTCAATTAAAAACGGCTACAGTATAATTAAAGTAGGTTTAGTTTACATCAGAAACCATAAAAACAAACCAAAAATCATTGACCTATTTATGGCTAAAAAGTTTTTTAAATCTTTTGCGACATGGTTCTCACCGATTGTTACCAGCAGAGGGCGCCAACTCAAAATCCAAGCACTAAATAAGTTGGGATTTAACGCTATTTAAATCACATTTGCTGTGTCCGAATGTCCACACTGTTCCGTACTTGCACTATTTAGAAGTTACGCCATTTTTATTGGTGTCTGAAAGTTCAGCTGGTGAAAAAGTAGTGCACTCAACATTTCCCACAATGCACCTCAGGAAGTTTCGGTGGTCACTAGAGCGGTAAATATAGACCACAATGCACTGCGAGACTCGGGAAAACAACGGCGTACAGCGACAGGTGTTTAACTGGACACAACCCAACGGAATGAAGCAGATAAAAGTGCTGGTTTACCGTTCTGTGGATCCTGATTTTGAATAAAACATTGATTAAATAAACTCCAGCTGTTAAAAGAGCGTTAATTTCCACATTTCAGACAAAAAGCAAATAATCCAGTCTGTTTACGTGAAGTCCAGCATGGCAAAAACTCCATAAACACTTGCTTGCCAGTCTGATCTGATCATTATGTATTACAGAAATCAAGTTTTATCGGAGTTTAGCCTTTGGACTTTAGACCAGATGTCACTATTTACACGAGACAGTCCCAGTTTTGAGTCCTGTGTCCCCTGTCCCAGCAGATTTGTCCAAAACCACCAATTTGTCCCAGTTTTATACACGAAATGATCCACTTGTCCCTATTTTTGACCAATTTGTTACCCACCAACAGTAAAGAGGCCAGTATATTCTTTTCCTTTTGGCGAAAATACAGCAAACCATGCTTGAAAATGAGCATAAGGCTTAAATTTTAAATAACAGACAGAAGTCCCTCAGATTAAATACTGACAAGTGTGAGTCAAGAAAGGATGTAAGTGTTCTTTTCCCAACCCGGTCGTGTCCCAGTTTTTTAAATTTTGAATATAAGGTCAACCTAACCCAAACACCATAGTCACATGACCCCAAAATTTGTCCGAATCTCTTTGTGAATGAGTGCACTGTAGAGGGCGCTAAAGAGTCCAGGCCTATGTAGTAAATGAGGGGTTAAGGACCAGGGTGGACACTCGGACACAACCATAGTACGATACAATTACGATATTCATTCCACGATACGATTTTATTGAGATATTGTGGAGATTTTTTCGTTTTAAAAAGCCTTGACGAGACTATTTAGCATCATAATCCAAAGAATTCAGATAGAAAAGTTCTTTACAACATTGATTTATTTGGGTTTTCTACATTTAAAATCACAAAAAATCACAATCTATGTAGTTTCCTAAAAAAAAAAAAAATACCGTTGCTGAAGTAAAACAATGCATTTAAGCTAAGAAGATATAATTTGATATGTTTTGTGACAGCCCATGATATTATTGTGAGACTTTTTACGATACGATACAATTTTGGTTATTGTTACCTTCCTACAAATAAGTCAAAACCAAATCATTAATTAAATTGTACTTTTTGGATCTTTTTAAATCACTACACATTGAAATTTACATTCAATAAGTAAAACATTTCTGTTAGAAGACTTTCTTTTTTTGGTGTATGGTTATTGCGGTAAACATTTTGTCATATATTGTGCGTTCCTACAGCTGTGTGTGTGTTTACGGTGGTATTATAATCAAAGGTGAAGTGAGATTTTGGGGGACCAGAAGTGGATGAGTCTAACACTACATTTTAAACCAATCAGAACCAAACACTGGGGCCGAACCTGCAGCAGAACAGACAAGATTTAGGTTCATTTTTACGATCTACGGACTAAAAATGTAGATGATTTCCAAATTTTCATAAAAATGTGCCTACGTTATTTTATTTTTAACATATTTCCCTGGCTTTCCTTATATTTTTCAAAATAAAATTACCTACTAATATTTTTTTTTTCTTCATTGGCTTTTTTATTTTAATTTATTTTTGGCTTTTTAAATTTTATTTTTAAATGGATATTTTTATTTTAGTTTTATATCATTTTTTTTGTTTATTTTTTCTCAGGGGTTTAGCTGAAAGTATGGAAATAAACACCACCCTTCACATTACTTATTTTAGCTCCCCTGCTTTACAAACTGGGGTAAAATTGTGGCACAGTGGGTTGAGTAGCTGCCCACCAACCAGAGGATACGCAGTTCAAACCCCACCATAAATTATTTCACCCACATCTGTCTCTCCAGTCAGTTTTTATCAGTCTAGTTTCAACAAAAATTGCATCCAACATTTAAAAACAACTCAAATTTTCCTCAAATCTTGTCTGTTTTGATTCCAGGCGACCTCCAGACTTAAGACTGTTGAAAATTTCAGAAATTCCATCGAAAGCATTCCACGAGATTCATCCACTGCTTAAACTTTACCAACTCACTCCAAGATTTCCATGACCCTCCTGTACATTACCACTGTCACTTTTTTTACGCTTTCAGCATTTGATGTGATCCAGTACTGACCTGAAACTTGCCATTTTTGTTCTAGGTTCTTAAAGGTGCACTGTGTAACTTTCCGGGTTGAAGGGTCCGCCGCCATCTTGTTTCTATGGATACGCCATTGCTCTGCCTGGAATGTTCCACAGTATGACATTAAACAGCTCTACTTTACATTTATTCAATTACAGGGGGTTTTATAGCTCAAAATTACTTAGAAACAGGGCCGTCGACAGAAATTTTAGGGGCCTGGGGCAAGAACGTTTATATTGGCCCCCTTCTAATATAATAATAATAATAAATTGTTATTTCTAAAGCACTTTTAAAAACAAGCAGCAAAGAACGATACAAAAAAGCATAAAAAATGGCAAACAATCCAATAAATTATAATAAATAAATACAAAGATCTAGAATAAAAATGAATAAGGAATAAAGGCTCCATCCACACTAGTACGTATTCGAGTAGTTTTCGTTGTGGATGCAGTGTTCGTTCACACTAAACCAATTGAAAATGGCTCTAGAGACGGAACGATCTGGTGTCACCAGCTCCCACGAGTACAGATCTGATCCAGCACTGTGTCAATGCGCTGTGAAGTAATTCACCACCAAAACACTAAAAGGCTAGAAAATATGTCCATTCTTATAAACGGTCTGTGTGTACGACCTGCAGACGTATAATCTCTGAAAAGTTTAACATGAACCATCTCCAACGTGATAGAAACACAGAACAGACTCACCATCAGCAGAACACCCCTCTGTCACAGAAAGAACACTCATATTCCACTGAGTCGTGTCCTTTAGTCCGACAAGCTGAACCGCATCAGGGCACAAGGAGCGAGCTGTTTTTGAGCGCTCAGTTTATGCAAATTATCCATGAGGTTTTAAGTTTTGCTTCTGTAAAAGTAAATAAATATGCTCAAAGCTGTGTGGATAGGTAAGGCTTGTGGACACAGAGACAAAGTGTCTGGACACAAATCGTTTTGGTGATTTGTTTCAGTGTAAACATGGCCAAAATCAAGCTGAAACCAGTTAAAGGAAGCCCAAACGATAAAAATGGGTTTTAAGAAGTGACTTGAAGAGGAAGAAATATGAAATTAATAGGCAGAGGTTCCAATTCTAGGCCCCTAAGACCCTGTGGCACGGGACAAAAGACTCATTTGCCCTCCCCCCTTGTCCACTTCACCTCTCCACAGCTCAGACCTGTAACTTGGTCTGGTCTCGTTTCCATGAAGATAGATTTTGGTTTAATCCAATCCAATCTGATCCAACTTTATTTGTATAGCACATTTTATAAACAAGACAGTTTCCTAAATAAATAAAAAATCTGCAGAATTATGTTCCAACCATGAGGAAAATAATAGAAGAAATAAAAAAATAAATACATAAAAGCAGTACTAAAAAAAATTAAACGGATAAAAACAATAAATAAATAGGTTTAATATCATACTGTGAAACATTCCAGACAAAGCAATAACACCTCCATAGAGAAAAGCTTTTGACGTATCTCCCCTCCACCTGAAAACTTACACAATGCAGCTTTAATTCCACCTAAAACCACATCTTAAAACGATCCCACGCGTTTCCCAAGCTTCGACGACATCTCCACGTCACCCTATGTAAATGAGTCACCGCTTTCATATTTATAACATAATCAGCATTTACGGTTTGCGTTCTTTCGTGAGCTTGTCCGACTCCACTCACGTTTTGTATATAAGTGGCTTTCTTAAGATGGTTATATCGTGGTTTTCTTAATCCAAAAAAGATGTTCCAGCACCTTAAGTACCTACCTACTGAGAGCTTTTTCCCCATGTCCACAAACTATACTCAGCACTGGTAGACGTGTGCAATAAATACAGTGGTGTTCTCATCTTGTGTTCCAGTTGGTTTTCCAGAGAATGACAAAGGGATGGAAGGAAAAAAAAAGGAGGGACACTGCAAAAAAACAATCTGGCGAAGTTAAAATGACTTAAAGGTCCGATATTATGCAAAAATTGACTCTTGTGAGCTTTTAGACATGAGCTTTTAGACATGTTGTAAATGTTGTAAATACACCCGGAGTTGTGTTTTTGTTTCACTAAGTGTTTGAGTAACCCTTTATTATTTGTCTGTCTAACCTCAAAATGCTCTGTTCCACCTTGTGATGTCATCAAGCGGTAGTTTTTAAGTTAACAGCTACATTTACCAAGAGAGATTGGCAATTCCAGGGCACCATTTTAAGCCTCCAACCCCATCAAAAAATTACCGCGCGCCCCGCAATCCAGAGCGCCCTATACACGAATCCACTCGGGTGTC